TTCACCTGCATTATATAAATGTTAACAGTCAGTAACTTTCATACCAGCTAGAGAAACTTTTTAAGAATGACTTTCTCAAGGTCACAGAGCAAATCTCTGGTGAGACAGGAATGGAATTCATGACCTTTGACTGCCAGAAGTTTTCTACCCACACTCGGAAATTCCTTCTCCATAAGTGTAATTTATATGCTCACTTTGAGAGGCTGGAAAGTTCATCCCTTGTAGGGATGTGGGGGATGGAGAGGGAGTGGTTTCCCTGTCAAATCACACCACACCGCACTGGTGTGGTACTTGCCACACCAGTACTTTCTAGTTTTACAAAGTGATTTGTACCCACACTATCTCCTTTCACCCTCACCACAACCCTGTAAAATGCATATTATTTTCCCCATTTTCTAGACTTGGAGAGGTTAAGAATTGTGACTAAGGTCATTCAGAGTTAGTAAGCAAAAGCCCCTGACTCAAACTGTAATACCTCTGCCACTTAAATCAGTCCAGATAACAGGATATATAGACTTAGTAGACACCTGATTGTTGTGAAATGAATAAATGTTTTCTTCAGAGTTATTTATTTCGTTTTTTACAATCCTTCCTCTTGGTTGTCATTTAGTTTTGTTGGTTTGTTTTCGTTGGGGCAGGGTTGTTTTCATGCTGTAAGTTTGCTTGCTAAACTCAAAACCAAGTGAGAATAATATTACTAAACCTAGGCTTTGAAAAAACAAACTTGGAGTGTTTTCCCTCTTTTTTAGACAAGGGGGGAGGGGCTTTTTACCATAATTCTTGGTCTTACTGTATGTGGCGTGGCGGGGTGGTATATATACCAACACAGAAAGAGAATATAAAAACTCACATTCATAAATATAAATACTATATATGTATACACACATGTATATACATAAAATAGCAGATACACACACATATATAATTACACATATACAACCTGCCAAGGATTATTTGGAAAACCCCTAAGTGTGGTAAATGTAGCTCTGGGAACACAATTCCTGGCTGTCTAGGCCAGTCAGTTGTAATAGGGGCAGCTTCCATTACCTCTGATGGGGCTGGGAAACTATTCCAAGGCTCTGCAATTGTTTCTCACCTTCCATACCCCAGTGCAGCAGCAATGGCTTTCTGCTACACCATCTGCACCTCAAGAGCAATACTGTTTGGACCAGTCCAATTATGCTAATATTAAAAAAATATAGACCACGAAATTAGCAGCAAAAGAGAAGCAGGACTTTAAGTTGAAAAAAAGACAGGAAGAAAGACCGTACAAGAGCAGAATTCTCTGGGTGAATATCCTGTAATCTACTGCCAGACCAAAACAAATTTTTATGGAGCAACAGGACTACTCAAGTAGCCACTTTTATGACAATAAACACCCAAAACCAAAAAATCCTTTTGTAACATAATTACTGAGAATATATAGAGAAAGCAACCATTTAATCCACAGCATGTGTTCTCCACCACAAGAACTCAAAAGCTGACATCAGATGGGGTGTGGCTGGTCTAGGCCCTGAAAATGAATTCTGGCCTGTTGAAGTCAGACAGTTCTCTGGACGAGTTTGGGATCTAGAAACACAGCAGATCTCACGGAGCCTAAGGCTGTTGACCTCCTGGGCACAGGGCAAGGCCCATCTGTTTACTTGCATTTTGATTTTGGGAGCTGTGGTTGTGGTGGATGAGTTAAGGCTGTGGTTTATAGGGTGTTGCCAGTGATTTAATTTTAATATTTTTCCCCTTACATTTTGTACATACTTAAGACTGAGAGCTGTGCGTAATTTGTAGGCTGAAAAATAAATAAATATAAAATTTAAAACAAAATAAACAGACACTGGGCAAAAATACAGATATTTCCACTTTACTGGCATACGGTATTTTCAAAATGTAAATGATAAAGGTAAGCAACTACAACCCATTTTAGGAATTATTTATAAAAACGAAAGTTGTTTTCTACAAACATGGAAGCACAAGCAGGGAGACTTCCTTATCCAAAAAAAAGAAAAACTTTTCAAATGAGTTTATGCCCTTTAGTATTGTAGAATACAACTGTGTTGCATTAATACACAAACCACCAACAGTTGCATTTATGAAGTTAACACCCTAAGAAGATTGTTTCTCTTACCATATAAAGAAAACCCTTTAGCACCCCCAATCTAATGTGATTGTACCAATGAAATTCACATAAATATGAAATTCCACACTTTCCATTTCGTGCCAGGGTAAAAACATCCAGGGCCTTTATATGTTCAACTATTTAACAATATCACCTCACTGGTAAGGTTACTCAATACTCTAGATTAACCAACACTGGCTCCAGTTCAAAATGCCCTCAGTGTAGGCCTAAAGGCCTAAGCACTTGTGTCCTCTTTGCAGAAAGGAAAAACAACAAACAAAAAAAACAAAAACCCCACCTATGTTTAAAACCAAATTGTTTCATTAAGCTAACAGCCTGCTTCATGATATAACATTTAAAACTCCGTCTGTTAAAGTGCTTGTTTACTTTTCACAGGAGGTGGGCAAGTAATCCCCAAGGAACATATATGTATTTTTAAATGACCAGAACACTATTGCTATTATATGCCTGATGCACACTCTTTGGAATGAATGAACGTCAAGCATCCTGATTTGTTTTTCCCTTGGCCTGGGGAGAGTGAGCGCACTAGTGTTTGCAGTCCCTTCCCTTTCTGTACACACATAGGCTGCAGCTGTAGTAAACAACCACCAGCCAAGAGTTGCTAAGGTCAAGGTCTCAAATGCTACAGCAGGACCAGTTTTCTCCCAAATGACATTTGGTTACTGAAAAAGAATATTCTGGAGAAAAAAATACTAAGGGCTCATTGGCACATCAATTTTCATTCAATAAAGAGTAAGACAAAGCATTCAAAATAAACTTTATCCGAACGAAGTTTCTTTTAAATATGCATTACTAAGTAATAAATAACTGAAGCAACTCAAAAATAAACAGAAACCCCTCAAGAATGACAAACCTGACAAAACTAACAAAACTGTATTAGTTTCACACTTTTAATTCATTAATTAAAACTTCCAAATTTTACCAGCCTTCATATATTTCATAATAGTTATGAATTACAAGGTAGACTAATAAACCTCTCTCCTAAATACATTACAAACGTCTGCCAATACTTCTATGCTCTAATTGCTCTCTCCCCAACCCAAAGAAGCTTACCAGACTCAAGCTAGTCTTCACATTGACCAGGCTGCAGCAAGAGAGACAACTTATGCAACTGAAATGTTTGTCCTTCAACATCCCATGTCTACTAAGCTTCCACAGTTAAACATTTTCTAGCCTGGAAGTATACCCCTTTATCAAAACCAATTTCTATGTGGTTTTTAAAAATGTAAACATGTGAATGAGGTCTACAAACAGCACAACCGGGCTCTTGGGGGGTGTCGCTATCTTTATTAAATGCCAATTCCAAAGAGCATTTCTTAGATGATGGAATACACCCACTCTTCAAAGTGACCACTCCTATTCCCATCACGAGGTGCGCCCTGTTAAAAGCCACCAAATTTATTTCAAAGCATTTATTTATCTAAACAACTCTATCCTCCAGTAAGAAAAGGGCCTGGAGGCGTCTCGGTGGGTTTGCAGAATGACGTTATTTGATTGACAGATGTCTACTGAAGCCACTGGATGCACATGCACTAAATGTAAATAGACCTGCTCACCTCCCCGGTGTTACTGAGAAACAGAGAATATTAAAGCTGATTTAAAATAAAATATCCGAGTGCTCGGCGGGGAATGCTATTAGCCAGTGGAATTGCTTAAAACAATCCATACAGAACGATACTTAAACCATCTGTACAGTTAAATTAGAGAGCTGACAATATTAACCATACAACTGTTTATCCAGATTACACATTCCGTTGTCCTAATACTCTTTAACTCAACACAGTCAGTTTTTATCAGCTGAATTAAGGGTATTACTATTAAAGTATGCAAAACTCGAAGCGCAGGGTGAAGGGGGTTGGGAAGCTGCAGGGCATGTAACAAAGGAATTGGTACTTTTTCCAAGCGTCTGCCTCAAATGCACTTCGAAACAGAACTGTTGAGTGCACCCCACCCTTTTCCCCAAAGATAAAAGTTTTCAAAGTTCTAATAGGCAGTTCTCTACCCAACAAAAGCAGGATTGATTCCCCCCGTAGGGGAGCATCTAACATGAACACCAACTAATGTCGCGTAGGTCAAGTCCGAGTCCTGGGAGCGAGCTTCTAAGGCAAGAAGTGGCTCCCAGGCCGGCTCCGCGGGCTTCCCGGTTCGAGGGGACGTGCAAAGTTGCCCCTTGTCAACTCCGGCCGGCTCCCCCGTAATTGAAAATAACAGCCACGGGCCAGCCCCTGGCTACTCCATGGACCAGGCACTGTAGCAAGTGACAGTTACACATCATTACGACCAGAGACAATAATGAATGTAGCACCAGGACCACTATTCATGCCAGCAGTGTCATCTCCGCCTTAACCCCTTCCCCTCCACTCTCTCCAGTGCACACCCACAGCCCACACAGCCCCGGTGCGGCAGCTATTCACCGAACTCGCTCTATTCCTGGGGGTAAACTACTTCCACAACCCCCCCTCCCCAATTCAGCCCTGGTGTTTTATTTCTCATCCTTGGCAACTGTCAGGCAAACACTGCAACCAACAATTCCACTAGGGGTAGAAAAACATTTGCTTAATTCATGGTACTTGCTAAGTTTTTTTTTTTTTAAGAATTTGGGGGTGGGGGGAGACCTCCTTCTTTCTTCTCCACATATCCGACCGACGCTGCTTGCTTTGCAATAGCATCGCCCTCCCTCGGCCCCCTCCCGCTTCCCAACACTTTCCCCCTTTAAGAACACAGACCAACCAAAATGACTTAACTTGAGCAGATGACAGAAGGAAAATAAAACATGTTAAGAGAATACGGTCTGATTTGGGATGGCAAAAAAAAAAAAAAAAGGAGGGGGTTGTTTATTTTGATAAGAAACGGAATCGGCACAGACCTGAACAGAAGCTGCAGAGCAGGAGAAATTGTTTTCTTTCCCTCACACAGAGTCCCCCTCTCTCTCCCTTTCTCTCGCACACACACGCGCGTACACACTCACTCTCGCACACACACGGCGTCACCCGCGCACACTCACACGCACACTCGCACACGCACAGGCAGAGCCTCTCAGCTGCTCTCTGCAGTTCTCAGGAAATGAATGGGGGGCAACCCAGGGAACTGTTGTACTTGCAAATGACTTACCCGGATCACATGATGCGCTAAATGTAGGGTGGGCCGGTGGGTGGAGGCTGCCGAGACGCGAGCCCCGGTCTAGCGTGGGGAGCCTCGCCAGGCCCGCATCGAATTACCCCGGGGCCCAGCCGAGGGGGTTGCAAGACGCCGCTTCTCCTCCCTTGCAGCCCGCAGCTCAGGAAACCGGAGAGGCGCGGGGGGTGGGGTGGGGTGGGGTGAGGTGAGGTGGGGGGGTGAAAACACCAAACCCCCAAACAAAAGAGCTCCGGGTCCTCCTCCCCAGAAACAAAGCCCCGCCGCTGCGGGCGAGCCCCGGGGTGGGGCCGAGGGCGGGGGCGGCGGCGGGGAGGGGCTCGCTCAGCAGGCGCTAAGTCGCTTTATTGCCATAAAATGGGGCCCCCGAGCCGCTCCGCCCGAGGATTAGGAGGCGGGCTCAGAGTGTGATGGTTGAAATCCCCTGTGGGAAACTAACCCCTCCCCGCTCGCAGAGGTAGAAGGCAACACCCACTGCCCGGCCCTCGCCTTGCCGCCCGGGCCGCCGGGCTGGGGGGTGGGTCCGCGGAGCCTCCACCCCGCCCCACCCCGCCCCACCCCTGCCCCCGCCCCCCGGCCTCCGGCCTCGGCCGAGCTTCCCTTTCACCTGCACCACCTTGCTGCGGTACCCAAAATAACCTACACATGGCCAACGGAGCTTTGGGAGCCGCCGGCCGAGGGGGGGGCCCGCGGGGCCTCGCGGCGGGTGGAACCCCCGGATTGCAACTCGCCAGGCGAGGACTCGCGCTGAGACGCGAGAAAGTCCCCTCTTTTGTGTCAGAGCGCGCAAGGCAGCCTCAGGAAGAGAATTCGGAGGCAAATCGAGCGCGGAGCCCGCTCGGCCCCCCGCCCCCTCCCCGCTCCGGCCCGGGTGGGGGCGTGCAGGGAGGGGGCCGGGCGCCCGAGCCGTCCCCGCGGCTCACCCGCCGGCTAACTTGGAAAGGTGTGGGCGGAGCCGGCTCCAGCGGCCGGCCGAGGCTGCGGGCACGGCGGCGCGGTGGCTCCCGGGGACCGCCCCCGGGCGCCGGGCATCGCCCCGGTCGGGCAACAATGGGGTCCGGGCAGGGGTAGTCCTGGCGGGCGGTGCCCTCGATGCTGGGGTGCGCGCGGGGGTGGGGCGGGCGGAGGACTGGGCGAGGAAGGAAGGGGGAATCATTGTTTGGGTTCCGGAGCGGCGCACGTTGCGGGCGAAGCGGGGGCGTCCTCTCTCCCGGTGCTTCACCTTGGGATGGATGGGGGTGGGGGGAGACGCATGCCTCGCTTAGGAAACCCGGCAGAAGGGGCGCCTGTCCTCGTTAGTTATTCGGGAAAGCAGGCGAACTTGCAGAAGCGGAAGGAAGCTAGAGCTGCAGACCCCTGCCGAGGCCCCGAGGGCTGTGGGGGTCGCGGTAGGGGAGTCCAGCCCCCCCGCCCTGTGCCCCAGTAGGGAGGCACGAGAGGCGGGCGGCCGGGAGCTGAGTCCTGGCCGCCCTCCCTGGCGGCCCCTCCCGCCCCGCCCCCGCGCCCGGGGGAGCGGATCCGCGGGATTCTGGGGCGGGAGAGAGGAGGCAGCGGCGGGGCGCCCGTTCCCGCCGCGGCTCGGAGGGCGCGGGGTCAGCGCCGCGCCGGAGGGTCGGCGGGGGCGGGGAGGAGACCGGGCGGAAGCGGACGGGCGGGGGTTGGCGGGGGGGGGCTGGCCGGGCGCGGCGGTCCACAGTGGAGATGCGAGCGCCACTTTTCTTGCAAACCTAGGTGAGCGCGCTGGGGCTCCCGGGCCCGCGGACACCCCTGCGCGGTGCCCCTGAGCCAGCCCCGCGCGGGAAACCGCCCCGGCAGTGGGAAGGAAGGCTGCAAAGGGGAAGTTTATGTTAGGAGAGCAAGATTTGTTGTAATGTGGCATGAAGCGGGGTGGGAAGAGAAACAAGGGAGAGGCCGAGAAACAGGAAATGAGAGCAAAGGAACGATTTCTAGCCAGGAAAAGCCGTGTTCTACATTTTGTGTGGCATTTTCCAAACATTTCTAAAGGCTGAGTGTGCGTTATTAATGAAAACAAAGGCAGTGTACCGCCTGGTGCGGTCTCTGCCACCTGCCACAATCTGTACGTGAGGAATGATGGGAAAGGTGGTCCAGCCTGGACGATGAGTCCGCAGCCCACTTCTAATCCTCACAGGATGAGTCAGTGGGCCTGCATCTTAGACATAAAACAAGATTGAGAGGAGGGCTCTGCCCTGTTCTCGGGGTTCCGAAGAACAAATGGGACAGCGTCTGAAAATTGTAGACCACTCCTTAAGCAAAGTCATCTTAGAAGACGAAAGCTGTGAGAGCAGGAAGGCGAGGGATGCCCACATCTGAAGACGTGAGGGCGGCAGGAATCAGGAACGCCGAAGGAAAATGGGACCTGGAGGCGGAGGGGCCGTTGCAGGGTGGGGTCTCTATTTGGGGAAGTGGCTCCGGACCCCACCCCCTAGTCTGATCACTGCAAACAGCCCCTTAGCAGTGCACTACGTCTGGATGAAACATGAAAAGACACGTTTGAAAAATGGTAAAATATCAACAAATGCACAGTGTTTTAACGAAAAACTTGCCTCTACTAGAAGCACTGTGAAGTTTCCCTCTGGGTGGGGCAGGGAGTGAAGGAAGTGAGTTTAACCCTAAGAGTGAAGGATGCTATAAGAAATTATGTCATAGTGGCAGTTCTTGTACTAACAGCTCTTTCTCAGAGCTGAGTGGCGGGCTGACCATAAATATGCTCTGTAGCAAGTGCTTTTCTGCACGTGGAAAAGCATTCCAAGCTGCACTCCCTTCCTTTGGCAACAGCCACAGGCATGTTAATAGAATGACAAAAGATAGAAAAAGTACAAGACTCCATTCCAGAGAGATAAGGAAATTAGGGGAAGGTCAAGGTTAATATCCAGAATCTGGGTAATGTGGTTAAAAGAAAGGAATACATCACATATTAGGGGAAAAAAATACTTGCAGATTTTTTTTAATTGTTGACAGATAAAGAATAGAAATGTTCGAGTAAGGCAACTCCCCAGATCTAGAGGAAGGGGAGAAGAAAGATACAGGTTTAAAAGGCAGAATCACTTCACTTCATTGTATAAGCTGGGGATGGGTGGGGAAGAGCAAATCCCAAAAATAAAGAAGGTGGTTATCATTGGGAGTTAGAATACTGGAGTAAATTATGTGTGTGTCTGTATATACATTTGTATACAGGCATACATTTCCGATTCAGTTCATATAATTCGTTCCCTGTATAGAACTTAGCGTTAAAGTGTGAACAGAAGGGGAAAAGGTAGAAAAATAGTACACATAGCCTAGCAAAAATATGTGCATATCTTTACATTTTGTCCCTTACCCTCTACTTCCATGTGGGTGCAGGGATATGAAAAGTCAGAAAATGTAAACATGGCAAAATTATTTCACCAGGAATGTGTATAATTCTGACTGTATAAAATAATGTTTTGGAATTACAGAATCATAAAATTTCAGTGTTGAAAGTATCTTTCAAATCCCATCCTTCATGGTACTTCAATTCTATTTTTTTGTTTGGTTTTTCTTTTTTTTAAAAGATTTTATTTATTTGACAGAGAGAGACAGCAAGAGAGGAAACACAAGGGGGGGGGGAGGGGGGAGGAATGGGAGAGGGAGAAGCAGGCTTCCCGCCAAGCAGGGAGCCCGATGCCCGGGCTTGATCCCAGGACTCTGGGATCATGACCTGAGCCGAAGGCATATGCTTAACGACTCAGCCACCCAGGCGCCCCTCAATTCTGTTTAAAACCCAGATGACTTTGGTCAAAGATGACTTATTTTCTTAAATTCATATACTCCTTTTCTTAGTCTTCATTATTGTAAATACCAAAAGATGAATGGATTAACAAGACGGCTAGAGGCTGGTATTCTGAGTTTCTTAAACTTGGTATTCTTTTACCTAACATCTTGTCCCAGAAAAGAGAAGAATATACACAACCACCTCCAATGCAAATTATGTATCTCATTCAATGTAAATGATAAGGCAGAACTTAGAACTGGAGATTTTAAGTTGTTAATGTAGAAATAAATGTTACCTGCCTGCAAACTTTTTGTCAGATCTTCTCACTTATACTTCACCAGCGGTAATATTCTGAAAAATTCGTGTCAATGATAGAAAAATCTTTTACAGTATTAAGAGTATTATCTGTACCACACCCTAATTTCTCTAAGGTAAATACTCTCTTCAGTATCTGTGTACATTTAAAGTTCTTAAGCCTTTGGATTAGTGATGCCAAAGATTGCATGGATGATTTAACACTAATATAATTTCAGGCGGGGATGGGGGAAAATTGAGTCCATTTTCAGAAGTAAAAGCTGTGTTGAAAGATTAGACTTGACTCAAAGTGAAAATAAAAGTGATTTCCAAAGCTTTAAATAAATCTTAAACTATAGTCTTGATTTTTCCTAGGGTCAGAAGTTAATGTGTATTGTTAGGTTTCAATGCCCATTTTTTTCACGTGTCGTATTTTGGCAATAATATTCAGCAAAGGGATTTTCCTGTTTGAGTTTGAGAAAGGCATGTAAAAAGCCTTACTAGGAATGCAAACAGCTGGTGATATTATGTGATTACATGGTAAACAACATGTTTTGATTTGAGTGAGGAGCTGTCTGGAAATTAGAGGAAAATGACATTTTATAACTTTGTTTTGTTGCAATCAATACAGTTTTTGGTCCTTCTAGCTTAAATATCTTTATTGCACCCTCAGACGTATCTCTTCCAAGCTCCTGCATAGTGATTTCTAGTCAGGTCTCCTGCAACATCTCTACTACTACATCCCTCCCCATCCTACAGCTCTGAACCTCTGG